AGCATATAGCTCAAAGGACCAGTGTACAGCCTCTCAAAACCACTAGTCTTGTGTACCTAGTCTTGTTTAGGTTCACCCAGGCTATATCACTTTATATCAATTAGGGTAAAGAAAATATCAAAAAACACCTCAGGATAACGCAACATAATTCAATAGTACCCCAAACTACTATCTACCACACAAAATCAACTCCTCAACAAATCTGAACACTATAACTCTCATAATGGCAGGATTTACTGCATGACTGTTTAGACTGCATCAGTTTTAGCTACAGATGTAATAGATTAACTGGTAACCCTGAGCGTAAAGCTAACAATTACGCATTAAACTCTAATACACTAGCTACTTCACATGAGAAAGATGCGCCTGATATATAAATGTGTTTATACTGAAGCAAAGTATTTGATCTGATATTGAAGAACTTATACTTAAAGCTATAGGAGCTTGGGTTTTTCAGCCCACTTTACTTTATTCACACTGGATTTATCATCAGGAACAATCCTGTTCAATAGGATGAACAAGTGTTCATTTTAGTGGGGACATTTTAGAGTGGTTCTAGACAGCCCCCACCTGTTTGGACTAAACTCGTCACACCCCAGTAGGACTAACAGTGAACTACAAAATCCCAGTATCCAGAAGGCTGTAGGTTGGAGACTCCAAGTTTGGCACGAACTGTGTATTTGCCCATGCTTAGAGAGAGCTCTATCTCTTACCAAATTCCCATGTATTTCAATGTTTGACCTTCTGTTTCATGCCCGATGCTAAAACTGTAAAGGCTTCTTGACACGAGAAGGGGATTTAAGAAAGAACCTTACTTATGTAATTTCTCATACTCCTGTTGGAAACCCACATGCAGTCAAACTACATCATTGTCTCCTTCTTCTTGCAACTTAACCGAGACTTGGTATGGAGTGGTGTGAGGTGTGTCTAGCTCACTTTCATTAAAAAAATGGACAACATCTGATGCCAGATTTCCCCCGGCAGTCAGCTGTGACATAATAGCCTCTTCAGTGTGCTCACCCTCTCTCAGCAGCGTTGAGCTCATTTTCTTTCACACTCTAACAGATCCCATTAATCATTTAAATCCTCATCATGCCCCTTGGACATTATTCACACTGAATTCTGTAAAGAGGTCTTTGATACAGTCGGCCCACACATTTTACCTTTCAGAAAGACTTCACTGGCTTCTGGCTCCACTGCGCTTCCTTTAACACACCCTCTTAAAGATGAGATCAATCCACTCAGTGATTATAGGCATATTTCCAAATTCCAAAAAAGCTGTCATTTTACAACACTGAGAAATCAGGTGTCAGTGATCACAAACTGATTTTGATTGTTGATCCATTATATTGCTGTCTTTTGTATCAATTCTTTTTCGAGTTGGTACTGCTACCTGGAGCACAGCCCGACTCTCTAAGTCTGACACCTTATCTGGAGTAGTTGTCTTTGCAATGCAAGCAATGCCTTTGTTCCTAACCATTATTCAATACTGTTAACCTGTATGCTTGATTCAACTCAACTTGCATGCTGGTGATACCAGCTCCCGTACATAGAGTACTCTACACTCATTCTGTACATACTGAACTTCTACCCATATGTCAAAAAATATTAAAGACACCGCTTATGTGTTTCGGGGTTTGCCACAATCATTCCTGCACTAGACAGACAGTATACTTTGTGGACAAAATTCTCAGCAGCCTACAAAGTTTGATGTAAGTACCTGCTGAAGTTTGGTGGATAGTTGAATTGGACAAGTGGTAAAAAGAAAGAAGAAGAAAAACATCCCTTTTTCCAGATGATGATGATGATGATGATGATGATGATGATGATGGAAGGAGGAGTAAGCCATCTTGCTTCCTTCTCATCTCTGTTGGGAGTTGAAAATGCTCAGCCTATCTATATCGTCTATAAGTTTGAGAGCAAGGCTGATGAATTTGGATAATTCTTCAAAGGGATGTCAAGTTTCTGAAAAATTTTGCTGGAGTGCCATACCAGCTGATTGCATCTCTGTTGCATGGCAGCTAAGAGTGTCCTTGTTGTTATTTGATAACCGCTAATACGTAAAACAATTTGCATAAGAGGTAGTAAAAATTTACTTTTGGCAAGTAGATTTCTGATCCACTAGCCTGACCAGGAAAGTTAAAAAAGAAACAGTAACACTAAATCATGGATACGTCTCAAAGCTCCGAAAAAGCTGGTGTCAAGGGAAACCAATAATATTAATATAACCCAAAATCACAAATCACACATTTTACCAACATATGACACCTGATAACTGACAGCTAACTAGTTTGGAGTCGAGTAAATGGTCAGTAAATAAAGCCCTGCAGTCCACAAGCTGCCCTGCTGAAGTTGAGAAAATGGGTGTATTTTGACTTCCTGACTAATAATATAGCCTATCATTCAAAAATACAGGTTCAGGTTTGCATACGACCCTCCCACCCTCTAAAATAACGGATTAAGAAGTATGTTTCGCCTTATTAAAGTAACACCCAACTGACACCACTCTGATGAAACTGAAGTGCCTCTCTCTTTCAACAGCACCACAAAAAAAAACTACCACTGAAGTGTCATTGAGCAAGACATTCTAGCTGCTCTACAGGAGCTGACTGTATACTGTGGTTGTGTAGTGTTACTTGGTTAAATAAAGTGTTAAAAGACAGGAAGACGATTACATGTTAGGTGACAGAAAAAAAAGGATGGAAGCAAAGCAAAAAGGGACAATTATTACCTGTAATTTCACAGCCCAGCAAACTGTATGCATGTGTCCGTGCATTAGTGTGTGTGTGTGTGTGTGTGTGTGTGTGTGTGTGTGTGTGTGTGTGTGTGTGTGTGTGTGTGTGTGTGTGTGTGTGTGGTTAATCCATAACTTGGGTCAGGTCTCGCAGGACAGAGCCAAACTGCTTTCTCTGATGGCCTCTGCATTTTTCATCCTCCAGCCTTTCAATTATTCACAGTGGAAAAACATGGCCCTCGAAACACTCCCTCTTTCTCTCTCTCTCTCACACACACACACACTTTGCCTTCTTCTTCTCCCTTCCATCTCTCACTCCATCCCTATTTCCCTGCTCTATTCCTCTCCCCGTCCCCCCTCTGTGTCGCTCGACCTAAAAGCTTTGCAACGTGTGACCTATCTGCTCACCCAAGTAAGAGGACACATGTAGAGAGAGTTGAGACAAGAGAGAGAGCGCAACTAGGGCATACTTTAACTAAACACACACTTACACACACACTCATAAACAAACTGATCTATCCACTCCCTTCCTGCCACACCTAATCAAATTGATCCCCATCGCCTCTACTTGTTGGAAGTAAAGCAAGAGGGTGTGTGTGTATGTGTGTGTGTGTGTGTGTGTAATACAATCCCTTTCACCTTCCTCTAGGATCACTGAGTACTGTAGCTGAAGTAGTCAAGCAATTGAGGCATAAGATCTCTCTAAGTGGTGGGCTGGAGTCGTACAAGAGTAATTCTATACATTTCCTGTGTGTGTGTGTGTGTGTGTGTGTGTGTGTGTATGTGTGTGTGTGTGTGTTGGTGGAAAACACACTCCACACAGTCCTTTCTGACAGAGAGTCAATGGCAGTGATTGTCTTAAAGGTTTTCTTTTCTTAGTTTAAGGCTGAAAAATACATGAGACGTCTCCCTGAGCTCTGCATTCAATCAGCGCAGTTCAATAGCACTCAGGCTGGTGTCGCGCTAAAGCGGCCCCCTGTGCTGCCGATGCTGACAGCAACGCTTCCTTGCCTTGTATTGGAGTAGAGCTCATTTATCGCTTTTGCCTATGTCAGTGACACAGGATGCGACTGGATCGATGCTTAGTGGTGAATATTTTATGGGAGCTATTGCGTCTCAGGCCAGGACTAATTTGGGTACAGGTGCTGGACTAACATCTGACACCCATGAAGAAGTGGAACATAGTGGTAAGAGGGTTGTAATATTGCAGGTTTGAAGGAAAAGAAATTTCATCCTAAATTGTATGTATTAGCTTGTTGGGGAACAAGTAAAGGTAAGTAAAGTTGGTGATGTTGAAATGCTCACACTGGACAGAAAAATCTGAAAGGGACAGTTCACCCCAAAATCAAAAATACAGATTTGTCCTCTTACCTTTAGTGCTATTTATCCACCCCTGATTGTTTTGGTGTGAGATGTCTACCACTCTCTCGGCTTGTGGTGCAATAAAAACTAACTCTAATGATTTCTGGAGACATTACTGTTGAGTTATTCAAATGTAAGAGGACGTGTTTTTGATTTTGAGGTGAACTATCTCTTTAACGAACACATGTCAAACTGACTTTGAAATGTCTCTTGGCTTTTGTTGCTAAAATGCAGAACTCAACTTTGACGGTCAAGACATCAGAGCAAGGTAACATCTTTGTTCATCTTTTCAACTGTAAGACTCATCTGAAGACAGTTCACTTTATCCCAAATTCTCATCAGATGTGAGACGCAAGCTACAGATGTGTCCATCCATTTAATCCAACCCAAGTCTGACCTCTGCAACTGTCGGCCATACTGTCTTCACCAAAAATTAAATGATTAAAGTTTGTTTTCACGCTCTATGAAAAGTATACCAGAAGAAATGTATTTCATGTTCCTTTCCCACCATAGCTCTAAAGTATACTGCCATAGCGAGAAATAACTGGAAGGTTAATAGTAAAAATGGAGGCTTATGCTGATATATGCAAACATATTACATACTGACACCTGGGAAACAATTACAGAAATGCTGGTGGAGCCGACAGCTCTTTAGTCATCGAAGCTAATTGAAAGCTAACAGAAATATACTTTGACATGGCATACATTTTTAATTTCCACCAACACTTCAATAACACTGCATCTATGGCTGCTTTTAGGCTATTCTTGCAATATGGTGCCTTACACAGACAGCAGTTCTGTTTTATGGCAGGGTGTCAGTAATGGCACAGAGATGGATATATATATCAGCATGAAAACAGTATATTGGCAAACATCCAAAGTCTAGACTGATGTTGTGCTTTACCTTTGGCAAGGCGTACTTGGGAAACCTCATCTGGACAAACTCGTTGCGCCGATAGGACACGTAGTGCTTGGTGCGATTCCCTGTGGTGACCTGAGAAATTGACAAAAAAAACAAAAAACTTTTTATTCAAGTGTGAGCTTGTGTCTTATCTTTACTTCTTATAGATTACTTTGCTCTTAATCTTTCAAACACACACGATTACAACTCAAAAAGTGTGGATTCATTGTAGAAGAGCTAAAAAGAATGAGGGAAGAGGGAAGAGGAGAGGAGATAAGAATTGATGCATTGAGAATAAAATAGAGGTCAGACTGAAGAACAAAACAGGAGCTCTATCTCAAGCTCTATTAACCACATTTATTAAGACTTTTTATGACCTTGTTTATGTCAGTTTAAATGAAACACAACACCACTTTGAAATTTAAGGTCAGATAAAATTGACTGTAGAGGTAGAGCCTGTAGAGCTTTTATTCTGGAAAATGCAATTTAGAGAAGGACATTTAAATATTTTTTTCCAGAAGACAAAAGGAAACAAAAGACTTCTTCTAAAAACATGAGGTAGTCATCATCCACCATTGTGTAGTCCCTGAGTTAAGGTGCAGAGTTCGCCATGTACTGTTGCTGACTCACACCGTGCTGAAAGGTAAATGCAAAAGAAAAAAAAACAACCTCCCCCGCGCTGCACAGACCTTGGCATCCACCTCGCAAACTGGGACCTGTGGCTAAAAGGCTGAATCATGTTGCCCCCCTGCTGAGAGAGCGGATCAGAAAGCTCACAAGGCACTGAACCAGAATACCCAAACAGCTGAAGCTGACGTTTTAGCAAAGGAGGCTCGGTGAGAGAGACAGCGCTGGTGACTGACAGTGACTTAAACAGGACTTGAATGTGTCATATCCCAAGTGATGGGCTCAGGCGCCCACATACCACTTTCTGAAACTCAGTCCCTGTCACCGTTTGGCTTTTTGAAAGGTGAGCAGCGCTTAAACCTTTAGAGCTGCATGCTTTCAAAATCTGATGGAGAACTTTGTATTCAGCGTTTCTATTTTGGGCTTTGTGGGAAGAGCTTTTGTTTTTTTCTCTCTCTCGCTCTCGGATATCTGAGCCTCTATCGTCGGTGCTCAGATTGAGCTGTGATTACAACCATCGTCTGTGATTGAAAGGAGCAGCCTGGCATGGCTTTTTTTTTATGCTGAACAGTGATGAAAAAGTGATGAAACAATGAAAGCCATTTTTAAAAGCAAGAGCCCCTGAAGGAAGCACTATCGACTGTGTTTTCAAAAGGAATCGCTTTCTAAAGAACGGCTAGTGAAGTGGGAGGAGATGAAGTGTGTGTGTGTGTGTGTGTGTGTGTGTGTGTGTGTGTGTGTGTGTGTGTGTGTGTGTGTGTGTGTGTGAGTGCCAACGCTAAAACTGCATTCTTGCCTCTGACTCTGCATATTTCTATACTGCTTTAACACGGGATAAGCACCCCACCAAGATCTGGCAAGTGCGGGTAAATATGTGTGTATACATTCTCTGTCCAGGGATACACTAACGCCACTTAAAAGTTTTCATTAACCAATCAACCCATGAATAACGACTATAGAATATTAAAGGTGTAGTACTAGTGTGTAGGATTCAGTTGGTGTAGTTGCAGACTGCAATTTATTTGCTTCACAGTCCCATTCTAAGTGCAAAGGAGAAACTAAGGTGGCGAAAAACAATGACGGCCTTATCTAGAGACAGCTTTTGGTTTGTCCTTTCTGGGCTACTGTAGAAACATGGTGGTTCAACAAGGTGAACTCCACAGAAGGTAACAAAAACACACCTATGAATATTATATTTAATTTGAATCTGTTAGAGGTGGAAACTGATCGAAAGGTTGTTGGTTTGATCCCCAGCTCCTCCCACCACATGTCAAAGAATCCCTGAGCAAGATACTGAACCCCGAATTGCTTCCAAAGCTGTGCATCGATGTGTTAATGTGTATGACAGAAAAAATACCTAATCAGATTACAATTATATTTAGTAAAAATGGGGATTATTAGCATTATCAGTTTTTCATTAAAATACGCTGAGCAGAGGACATTTCTGATGCCAAAAATGTATGTATATCTTATATTAATACTTCTTACTGAAATATCTTGTCTTTATTTGCATATTTGGCGTTGAGGTAATCCAAAAGTAACAGAAAGTAAGTTACAGACTGACGCATGTTAAATATCATATTATATCATATTTACACATATTACTTAAATTGAAGTTGTTCTTATGGTACCAATCATTTGCTAATACTCCTCATAGTTTTTGAGATTCAACCATTTCTGTAACATACTACATTTATACTCACTTTATCCCATAGGAATACAGTATAAAATGCCTCTAAGGTCTGCACAGTGGAAATACTGGACCAAGTAAATTGTTACTGTTCTTAATGAATCTATATTGTAACAATTCAGAGTATGTGGGAAAATTAAAAAAGCAACCCCTACAGCTACAAAAAGTATGTTGAGAAAAACCTGTGATGCAGCCTCATACTTTTACCGATCTGAAACATTTTAACAGATTTGTGCTAAGTTCAGCTAGTAATTACAGTGCTGCAAAGGAAATTATAAAATTCCATTGTGGACTTTAATGGGTTTAAGGGGAACTCCATCAATTTTACACATCAAATTCGGTTCCAGTGTGTTGTCTGGTAAATGTTTTCAAGTTTTGTCACTTGAGTCAGTGTCAACTGGGGTTAAAGACTACAAGTTTGAAAATTAAAAAAATATATAAATAAATAAATTAATACATTTGCCTCACCAATCACCAGAGGAAATGACGCCCTGTCTGTACATCTGATATCAGTGGGTTGGTAATACTGGGAGCACTGGAAGAATAATCCCTGAAGGATAATGGATCAGCCTATTGTTGCCTAATGATGACTTAATTCTTCTCACACACACTGATAAACACTCATACACACACATTTACACAAATTCATATACATGCACAAGCATATAGACACGCATCCCTGAGATACGACTATTCTATCCCACTATAGGGATTCTGCTCTACTATACCAGCTCATGTATATTCTGCTGTTATCGCATGCAAATGGGATTCAGCTCTCGGCCTTGGAGTGTACAGTACTGTACTGCATGGCAAGTCAATTATAGACAAGGCTAGATTAATTCTGCACAATGTCCCGAGTAGCAATTCTTTTCCATTTCAAGCCGACAGTACTGTATGTTATCTGAGCAGCTGGGTTTATCAGTAAAAAAGACAGCAGCCTCAGTTGTGTGCGCAAATACAGCCACAACTGAATAGATACACTGACAGATACAACATATGCACAAAAATACTGATGATTATAAATATCAGGGGGGTTCAGAAAGACAAACTTAAAGGTACAGCGCCTTAATATTAAAGTAGTAATGACTATATTCATTCTGAGACATTAGTGTAATTAACAAACAAGAGCAAGTGAAAGGAGGGTACGGGACAAGGGACCAGGGAAGGGTTAGGAAGATACAGTTCCATTCTACAATGGATACTATCAAAATACAACAAAATCTAAACTATGACATAGCTGAAATGGAATTTCCTGTAATATTTCGTGTCAATATCAGCCTGTTACGTATTCACGTTCATGCATGTAGCACGCACACATATCCATGTTAAGTTACTAGCTGAAATGTCATGGTAAGATAGTGAGCGGAGGTCAAATGAATGGTTCAAAAACACTGCAATCGTGGCTCCAAACAAACTATTAGGAAGACAAGTGTGGACCAGGAGTACCCCTATTCCACCAAATTAGACGAAACAACAATAAATAAGCATCTTATTAGGAATAAAGCTGGTACTTGGAGAGTATAATATCTTTTGAGTTTGGTACGCGGTGTAAAAAGTTTGAGAAACACTGTACTACTCTTTGCCCTACACTTTAGAATGAGATCTGACATAGGAGTGCAACCGGGGAATGCTGAGGACATGTGCCCATCACTTTTTGAAATAGCTGATTACGGCCCCATTCTTTTAAAAAAGCATTGTTTGTTAAGATGTTCGGAAAAAAGCTTGCCTTGCATCTTATCTGCCTGATTTTATGGTACATAAATAGATAGTGACTTACAGTACAGTGCTGCTTGCCTCCAGCTCGGGTTGCTGTAAATTAGGATACTGCACTTTTAAATGTGTAGCTAGCAGCTGTACTTTTCTATGATCGATTATCCAGTGGCAGCCCCTTGTTAAGAAATTGACAGGGGTCATATTAGAGTTTGTGTGAAATATGAATTAATAGACCTTTTTCCCAGCAGCCATTTTGACATGAAATAGTAGGGTAAACAGTTGTTACCAGTGATACTAATTATGGCTCTCTTCCATTTAGTGTAGCAGAGCCTTTTCAGTGAGCCAACATGCACAATAGCAGCACCCTGTTTGACCTGAATGGAACCTTAATTACTATCAGTGTGTTTACCCTGACTATTTCATGTCAAAATGGCTGCTGGGAAATAGTTTTATTATGTGGAATTTTAAAAGAATGACGAGAAATGATTTGTTGGTTGAACTTGATAATTGAACTCTAAACTAAACTAAAAATCTATACAGCATCGAAACAAACAACAAGGCAGTTTACCTTAACATCCAGAGGTACGGTTGATATATTAAGCTAATGTTAATGTTATAACTGCAGTTGTTTTTGTTGTGTCATATTTTAGGGCAGTGATCGCTGGGCTGACTGACTGTCTGGTGCTTTCTACAGTAGATGGGATATTGACATTGCTGTGGATGTGATTGATGACTATTATTATTTTATTTCTGTAGTCGACTTGCTGAATATTTACTTACTGTCAACTTTAGTTTTTGAAATGCTGTTATTTTTATTTAGGCTTCTTGAAACTGTAAGAGATATGTATATCTGCATATACTGTATCTATCCTGTAGCTGCTCTGTGTCTTTTACATTTACACAAAGTAAAGCCATTATTTACTACTTCTCCCGACCTGTTGTTATACCCCTACAGCTGCTGCATGAACATAGATATCTCTACACTCAACAAAGGAAATCTCTGAATAGAAAAATAATACCTGTAATCTATGGGATACTTTTAGGAACTTACACATGTGAACATCTTTGTGAGATGAACGATGTGAAAACAGAAAAATAAATAAAAGAATTAAAAAATACACCAGTCTCCCTTTCACCTCCTCCGTTGGGGTGCTGTTTACCTTGACAAATATGTAGTCGTCCTGCACCAGCAGCGAGTTGTGGTCGATCTTTCCGAGAAACTGAGCAGTCACCATTTTGTCCGAACAGTTCTGGATGAGACAGGTGACATAAAGGTAACCTGCAGAGACACATGGGAGCAAATGCCAAACAATGCTTACTGTTTAATACATTTGCACAGGTTCACATATGTTTAGTTTTGCTTTAAACATAATACAGGAGGTTTTAACTGGTTATGAAACCGTCTCAATTCAACACTGGTGCCTCTATAGTCAGATCAAACTATATATATATATATACATATATATATAGTTTGTCATAAACAAACACAACCATTAGCGAACAGACAGGCTATTTTTAGAAAGTCATTCTTTTTGCCTGCCACAGGGACAGCCAGAATCAACACAAAATGAACGTTCCTTGTAGGGGCTTTAAATATTCAAAATATATCCACTGACATTTCAGGATGAGGACTCACAAATTATTTGGTCATATTTTGAAACATAAACCAGACTCCACTGTAGATGACCTCATACGACCATTAAAGCTACGTTAAATGGGGACAGTGAGAGAGAAAGGAAGCAAGAATAAGAGGAACTTAATTTACTTTTAGACAGTTAACCATAAAACAAGCCTATAGATAAACAGACAGAGAGAGAAAATAGGAAGAGGTAGAGATCAAGTATGGAAGAAAACTGGGCGAACAAAAAATTGAGACATCATTTTCCGAACTCTATAAGATATGACAGCTCCCCCGTAGACATATAGCCGTTCTAGCATCCAAATGGCCAGGAGGGATTATCCTCCCAGAGACACACAGAGAGGTTAGTGCCTGTTGCAAAGCTTACCCAGTATTGAATTTCAACCAGCAGCTGCATCAGCAACATTGCCTGCTGAAATTCAGCGGTTACTCTCCTCCCAGAGGTGACAAGTTGACAATAGAGAAAATGCACACACACACACTCCAAGCCTGAACCCGTACACATGAGGTTGTTTGTTCAGAAATGAGTCGCTGCAGCAGACACATGCTTCAGGATGACAATATGACCTTCAGTTGACTACGTACAATTCTCAACTTGTTCACCCTGACTTTAACTCTCACCATGAAGCCACCACATACGAACAGATACAACTTAAAAGCTTACAAATGGCTGTAGTGGATGAAACATTTACCAAACTGACATTGATATGAATCTGTTAACTACATACATATGTGTCTGTGGTTTGAAAATTGTCATACAACACAGAACTGCAAACCACATAGGGATTTAGCCTCTTTGGGATAAGAAAGTGCTTTTTATGGAAATCTGATTATTAGATTATGTGATATCATAAAGTCGACATTTTAGTGGAAAGAAAGGGAAGCTAATGGAGTGTGAGGAATGAAAAGGGTTTATCCTATCTTTTAGGAAGGATATATTTATACAAATGGGACATTTTGGTCTGCTGATGGACTGAGGGATTTAGAAAAACCTGTACCACAACAACACATACTTTCATGTCATCAATCCCTCCCACTGCCAGTTTGGTCATCCATCAGCTTCAGTCGGAAAATAAAACTTCTGGAAGATTTTTTTTTTTTTAAGTAATTTTTTTTGTCTTTTATTGCCTTTAATGGACAGTGATAGCTGGAGATAGACAGGAAAGAGGGGTAGAGAGAGGGGATGACACGCAGCAAAGGGCCACAGGTCGGATTCGAACTCTGGGCCGCCGCAGGACTCAGTGCATGGTCACCAGCTCTACCAAGTGAGCTAACTGGGTGCCCTTCTGCATTTAGCATGTTGGCATGTTAACACTCTACTTAACACAAAGCACAGCTGAGGTTGATGGGTATGTCATGGGTTTTGCAGGTGTATGGCTATACATTATTCTTTTGGTTAGATACAGTTATTGCTATATATAAATCAAAATAGAAATATTTAAGGAAGGTCAGGTTAGTTAGTAAACTGAAATCTCATTATGTTTGGAAGGAAGTTAAAAAGATGGTCAAATTAACCAATATCTTCTCATTTTTGTACTGAATGTTCTTTTAAAGGGACACAAAATGTTTTCAGTTTTATTCTTGATGTTAGCTTGCTGGATAATCCATTAATTAATTATGCCATCATTAGTATTTGTCCAACAGGCTAACATCTCAAGTGCTGTACTTTGACTCCAACCAGTACTTCTGTCACGCCCAACACACTATAAAAAACTATATCTAGCCAGCTTTTGGGATTGGCCCCTTAAACATAGCCTTAATGGTACTTAAAGTAGTAAAGTGGACTTAAAGTAGTCCACTGTACAATAATCTCTCTAAACATAGTTAAATCTTCTTAAATGAAGTTCCTGGGGGCCCTGCACTGGGGGCCCTGCACTGCTGCCACTGGCATCTTTATATCCTTGTGACAACATGAGTACCAGAGAATATAAACAGACACAATGAACTCCACTTCATATTACTGAGTTCATCCTCCTCATTGGTTCTGTACTTTTCACTCTCTGCTTTGTCTTTGTTCAAGAGGTGTCTGGTCTAACAAATGGACTGGCTAATTTATTGAAAAGCCTGGACGTTTAATCAAAGCAGCATACGGCGTAGAACTCATTAAAAAACCATTAGATTGGGCTAAGTGTTCAATTGCAGCTTGTGGCACACTTCTTCATTCTACTTGCTGTCCTCACACACCTGCAAACACTCACATACTAAACTAAACCTGCACTTGTGCAGCTCAGATGATATGAATATATATATATATATATAAAACTGTAAGAGCTAATTAATAAATTACAAAGAAGGATGAACAATTTATCACATTATACTGACTGCATGGGGCCCATCATTTAAATTTCAGTACAATGGGGAGTACTGGAGATGTGCTCTGTGTGTGTGTATGTTTGTTTACACATGTATGTCCCTGTCTGTCTCTACACTTGCAACAGTGAAGTGTGTAAATGCGTGCATGCTTGTGTGTATCGATGCATGAACAAGGTACACTCACGCACTCCTGCACATCAATCCCCCTTAATGACACACACACAAACATACTCCCTGCCAGCCTCCCTATGCACATGGCTCATCCATCAATGGACCACCCCCATTTCTCTGGAGTCCTGTCCCTTTTGTCAACCGGCGGTCCTGAGCGCAAACCCATCCTCAATTCCTCGCCTCTGCAGAGACTCCCGAGACTCTGTGTCCTTCTTTGTAGCATGCCACCATTTAACCTTGGTGATGCCACATGTGACAGGGGGGCACAGGGCGAACAGATTGGTTTGGCATGCCTGATCGCTCCAGCCCCCCTCGACTATCTATCTATCCGGGCACGGAAGCAAGGAGAGGAGAAGGGAGGAGAATGGGGAGAAGGAGGAGGAGGGGGGACCATGTGGCGCTGCCTAGCCCCAGGAAGAGCTCTTGTGCCTGGGCAGCTGGCCCAGACAGACAGCCTCTCCCGTTCACCCTCCACAAACACATGCAGCCTTGTTCGGGCTGACAGCTTTCACATTGCAGGCAGCATCTTTCTGTGTGTGGGTTAAAGGACTGCGTGTCTCCTCAAGGGATTTAAGAGCTGTTTGTATTTTTCTAGAGGGGAGGTTTATGGAGAAATAGAGTGTGGCACTGCAAATACAAAAAAACATATCCTTCATTTTGCCCTTCACTATCTGTCATTACTTTCTGACTTTGCCTGCTCAGGTTTATTTGAGTGGGGGATTATGGGTTGGGAGACCCGCTGTATGTGAGGTCCAGAACACACACATCCATTTACAACCACACACTGATAAACCTACACAATCTTAAATACACACTACTTCTATTACCCTCTTGGCCCTTGGTGGGGAGTTAAGCACTAACCTGTCTGTCTGTCACTCAGCTGATATGATAATCCAGACTTGCTGTTGTTGCCCCGGGGGCCCCTGACATCCCTCCTTAACTTACCCATTAATTCTCCATTGACCCCCTAACCACACAGAAACACACCCCACCCGCAGCAAGGTCAGCCATTCATCTTTTCTATTACTGCATTTACACTTCAGGCTATGCTAGGACTAGTACTGCCATGGCGCGGGGAGAGGACATTCTCCACCTCAGCATGTCATGTAGTGGCTCTGGTCTCCAGAATTGATCTAAATCAGATGTCAGTGACATACCTGAGTTTCTCTACTTAGCTTGAGACACTTAAAGGGCCAGTGTGTAACATTGAGGAGGATCTGCTGGCAGGAATGGTATATAACATTGATAGGTATGTTTTCATTAGTGTTTAATCACCTGATTACCTGGTACCTTAGAATGAGACTTTTTTTTCTCTAGATGCCACGGGTCACTTTCCATGGAGGCCGCCATGCTTAGCCTCCATGTTTCTATAGTAGCCCAGAACGACAAACCCAACACTGGCTCTAGATAGAGCCTTTTGCGCTTTTCATGTGTTTTAAGGGCACCGTAGGGTCTCCCTACCACTTAGAAAAGGAGGATGAAACAAGGTTATTACAGTGCTAGATGCCACTAAATCCTACACACTGGACCTTTAACATAAAAGAAGATTACTAAAAAAAACAGAGCATAGAGTTCTAGTGCATTGTGATTAGATCATGGGAGACAAAGGCAACTACTTCAGTACAGCTGGTACATTGGCTGTTTGGGGTTACAGTGTACTGTTTATCTGTAATACGAGAATGTGTGTGACCCGGCAAGCCGTCATTGTTAATTAGTTAATGTAGCAATGCACCAACAAAGGCAAGAAAGAAGACTGCTAGCTAGCAAACATTGATGTAAACAATGCAGGTTTCAGTGATTTGTTGTTCCAAAGATGTTTTAATGAGGAAGAAAATGAATTTAACACGTTTCCACATTTAATTTTGGTTGGAAACAGTGAATGTAACAAAGCAGGTCATACCAGACGAGGCATATTCATTTGTTTTTCCCGCAAGGAAGGTGGTATTTAAAGCTTGGTGACATAGTGACTACTACTGCTGCCTTGCATTTCCTCAATGGTTTCTCATGGTTGGTTTAAATATAGTGAATTGGTTAATTATGTGAATTTGTGTGATAAAAGTTAACAAAAGAACTCTATGAGAAAGTTACTTTGCCTCAGTGCTCATGGCAATTCTATTAAAATTAATACATTGCTGTCTGAAGTTTCACTGTGGTAGTGTGACCAGGACTTAACAGTCTCATGAATAAATATATAAATGATAAATGGGCAGATGGAACATCACTGTACCTCCACTCGTGTCTTGCATTTCCATGTGCACCAGATCAGGGTCCACATCCACACCAGATACTGACCTGGAACACAGAACAGAATTACGTTAATTGATTTTGACCAGGGACAGTGCAGTCATAGGACTTAAAACCACTTAACACCGACTTTAGATTCTAGATTCTGAGATTCTAAATAGGGCGGCTGTGGTGCAGAGGCAGAGCAGGTCGTCCCCTAATCGGAAGGTTGTTGGTTCGATCCCCGTGTCCTGCACACATGTCGAAGCATCCTTGAGCAAGATACTGAACACCAAATTGCTCCCAATGCTGTGCATCAGTGTGTGAATGCATTAGTTTCTGTTCGATAGGCTTTGCCATCATGAATGTGGCATGTAGTGTAAAAGCACTTTGAGTGGTCGGAAGACTGGAAAGGTGCTATCGAAGTCCATTTACCATTTAGATAAGGTGCGTGCGTATGCACAGTTGAAAATACAACATCTTGACTGATGAACATTCAGTGCCCAAGCAGGCTTATGTAGCTAAGCAAAATAAAAATTAGAAGGATTTTTTATTTTAGGCTAAAATATACAGTGGTTACATCACAGCATACATAACATATCCTTTGGTCCCCTTTGATTGCACAGATATCTCAGTAAATATGCACAGCTCAGCTCTTCCTGGAAAGTGTACTCAGATGTACTCAGCCTTGCCTAACATCCTTAAAACCTCCAAAATTGTATACCCCTTTCCTTCTTAGAGGCACACTGACATACACTACAGTACACTCACTATGTGTGCCCTTCAGTGAGCAGTAAACTAAGCAGTTCATCTGATTAGGACTGCGTAGTGCAGTCTGTGAAATTTCCCCAGCCCTGTAAAGATAGAGCGGAGATTTAAAACCTCGTTACTTTGCCTATAAAGAAACTTTACGAGCAATTAGCAGGCCATGGAGGGACGAGGGAGGAAGGAAGAAGTGAAGGAGAGAAGATGGATCACAGGAAGTGCTACAGGATCTGCTGCTCATGGAGGATAATTCAGTCTTCTTCAAGTGATCTTTATGAGCAGTCTGCGTACTGGTCTATTAAAATGAAGAAAGTCAAGCAATACATATGACTTTAGTCAGTTCCACATCAAACTAGTGGAAAGTCAAGCTACCTTACAGCTTATATTACATTTTACAGCTCCCATTTTGAAGCAGCTGATGATAGTCTAGCCATCAATGGTTGAAAAAGCAACTTCTTTAAAAAAAAAAAAAAGAAATTTTTCTGTTGATCAACTAATCGGTTAATTGACTAATCTCAGGCTCAATTATAACAGGCCTGCATTTAAGTATTAATAGTATACTGGAAATGTTTACTAGTTAAGTTCCTATCACATGTAGGGATACCTGTAAAAATGTGGGTTATCTACTTTATACTAGCATTTTACAGCTCTCATGTTCAGTGTCAGAGAAAACCAGCAAGAATTAGACAGATTCCCCCAATTAGTCAATGAAACCCTTCTTCTACCACGTCGAAAGATTTCAGCTGTGTACTCATTACTGGTGGAAGAACCACTTCTTACAAAAGGTACAGCAACCCTGTATTCTTAGGAATTACATCCATATTGTCCAATGCCGGTGCTCAGTACCAACACAGGAAGCGGTGTGTCCCTTATGTAGAGAGGTGAAAAGTAAGGGTGAGGAGTTGAGGTGGTAGATGGGTGAAGTGCATTTATTTTACTTTCATGCAGCAGACTGGAGTTCATGTTCTGTCACAGACCTGCAATTAACCAATTAACTGTAATTTCCCCCTAACATTAGTTGTAATCCCTTAGCTGCCAAACCCTAAATTTACCATTGGGCAGTTGCCATGCACACATAATGTAGAAAGTGAGAATTGAATAACAAAGAATAAATAAATAATTGGTATTGGACATTAAAAAAGTACTATCACTGTGCAATGTCAAGTTTCTTGTCTGGACATACTGTAGCGTTGCGTAAAAACAGTAATAAAATAAAGGAAAACTGTTATACAGGTAAAAGTCCAGCATTCAAAAGTGCTGTAGAAACATCTTGACATACACCTGGTGCATGCTGTTTTTTCAGTTTTTTTGGAAAGATGAAATTTTGGTGATACACAATTTTTGGCCAACAGCCATAACTTCTTTAAAGTGACTATTGCCTATAGCTGTCAGCCAAGAGCAATGGGGGATAAAGCAGGAGAAGAAGTATATAGTGTTCCTAAATGTTAACAGAAGTCAAGAAAAGGACCAGAAACTCATGTTCTTGACAGAAGTAAATGTTACTTCCTAACTCAGGATATTCGTCTGGAAGCAGTGAGATTTATTTCAATCAGTTTCAAGTTTTGTCAGATTTGGCCATCTTTGCAAGAAGTTTAGTGAGACAGTTGTTGTGATCAGTGAAGCAAGTGGTTAGTTCCTCTGCAAATATGATATGGAGGAGCTCAGGCCACTTGCTTGGGAAGGGCAATCTGAGTGGTGTTTGGGTAATGCAATTGTTTGAACAACCACAAGAGAACACCACAAGAGTCTAGTCAAAAACTGGGGATTTGATTGATGGAGGAAGGAGGGGAGTAAGAAAAGGATTGGAAAAGAACTCTTCAACATGTGTCCTGCTAAAGTGTCCTTGACCGAGACTTTGAACGTCTTGCCTTTGCACTCAGTGCGGGTTACTCTAGATACAAGTGTCAGCTGCATGCTTGAAATGCAAATGCAAAAAAGATGGAGGGTGAAGGCGAACTCTGCACTGGCAATACATCATTAATTCATTTCACTAACGCTTTGGTCCAGTTAGACCTTCATCACAGTCTAAGTGTGTGGGATTTCCTTCTCCTTTGGTCATGGAAGTTAAAACAGACGGACTGAGGGGGCTGAAATGGGAAGCAGGGGAAATTAAATGAACGATAGACGTGACTGATGGAAAGATAAGTAGGTTGATACACAAAGAAAATAAGAATTGATTTAGAAGAGAAGGAGGAGGAAGTGCAACATGCTGCACAAACATCCTCCCTGGGCTGGAGTTCCGTTTCATCCCAGCTCTAGTTTCACCGCCATTCGATTAGTCACTTTTATCAGCATGCTTTTCACAGCGTTCCATTTTTATCGTCTATCCTCAAATGTTTGCTTTTGTTGTCAGTTGTCATCTTGTGAGATGCCAGTTCAATTTCAAAAACTGCTGTTTCTTTTCATCCAGGATGACAAACACAAACTTTATAGCCCAGGATCACAAAAAAACAAGGTCCACAGGAACGCATTGGGCCAGACCACCCCAGCAGCAGATTGGTTTTAATGTGATGTTTTTAATGTGATTTATGTGAGCTGGCTGCCAGACTCCTGTTCTCTTTTGCTTTTATGACTGTTAGGACACAAGAAGGGCTAAAACCAGAGCCAGCAACTAGCTACCTCTGTCTACACTCTGACCACACACATTTATAGCACATATATGCACAGGCATGTCCACACATCTACACTTTTTTACAGAAGGAGCAGGTTGTAACCTTACAGTATGTGCAGACCTGAATACAGGAGTGTGCGTCTGCTGCGGGCAATTTTACCTGAGGTAAAAATCTGCAATACGTGGTTTAATTTCAGAGTGCTACGGATTAAATGTACACTGTACAATAGTAATTTAATCTCCCACTTCCTAGATACAGCTTTAGCCAGACCATATAAAGAATCTAAGCTGTATTAAGACTTAAGATATAATGGAATCCAGATGTGAAAAGTAAAATGTGAGTGGACATTAAAGGTATAGCTTGCTCTATGCAATAAAGTTGACTTCATGTCATCATTATCATCTCATTAGGTAGTTGTAACTAACATGTTAGCCAACAGTTGTCTATGTGCATATCCAGTTAAATTAAATGCAGCAGAAACAGATATCATCGTTTTTATTCCACACATTTTTTCTTCCCTAACAAAACCTAGGGCCTACATTACCCAAAATGCCACTTGACTGGCAACAGTTTGGTCAAGGACATGGGTGTGTTATGCCATTGGCTGAAGTATCCTTGAGCCGCTACCCTCAAGCAGAGATGAGGAGTAGGCTAAAGACCAACTTCCAATGATGTCACTTGAGGCAATTTGAGATTTCACACAGCTCCCTCTGTGGCCACAAAAGGCTGTGATGTGTACAACTGGCGGGGTTCCCCTTTAACCCCGTACATAGGGGGGATTACATAGAAGTAACTATGCTAGAAGTAATTCTTGGTGAATAACCGAAAGATGATGTGATCGTGCACAACTTCCTGAAGTGTTGTTGTCATAGTAGGGTTACCAGATTTTGGAAATTGTGCCTGCACAGAGAAAAACAAATAAACTTTGTACTCACCGACTGTAGCAAGCTGTGCTATAGCCAGTGTGTCTGAACAGAAGTGCTGGGCAGATGGATGGACTGTTGTTCATCAAGAATGAGTTCCAACATATAACCTCTCAAATACAAATTGTTCCTTTTACATTTCAGTTCATGTAAAGGCCAAACACACAGAATTGGTGAGCTTTATAGGTATTTCACTTTGGACTGATCATCCTGGATCTGTAAAGTGCCCAAGCTGTTACCACAGTCTATATGCTAAGCTAGGCTAAGCAGATCTTGAGTATAACATGAGACATGAGATTGATATTAATTTTCACTCACTCACTTTTTTGCAAAATGTTCAACTTTAACAGCACGATCATTTATCTCCTGTTTCCACTAAATGTGTAAAAAAAAAAAAAAAAAAAAGAATAATTTTAGATTTCTTCAATTATACAAAATGCTCTCTTTTCCCTCCCTGTGAAACATCAAAATCTTTTTGATGAATCATGTTTGACTTAGGGGTGGTTACATACATTTATCCAGTCAAATGGGATTTTGGGTGCTAGCCAACATATAAAAACACACTTGACCGTTATCTTGTGGGTAGTAGAGCAATATAGGCAGTGAATGTTTGGATTTCAGCTGGCAAAAACTTTATTTTCTAACCCTGTGGTTGAAGTCTAATTCCTGATCCTGATCTAACAACACGGGTCAGATCAGGCCAACCATCATACAGCTCTGTATCAAGCTGTATTCGATAAGCCACTCCCACTTCTGAGTGATCCAATCACTCCATATGTCCATCTTTGATTGAAATCCTTCTAGTTACAAAAAACCTTCCCACTTATTCTGTTTCACCCAGGAATATGTCACATTACTGCACATTTACACTACTTCTGATTCTCTTGGTCAAGGTCTAGGTTACACATTCAAATGCCGAGTCATAGCTGGGGTATGTAACTTTAGTCTGAAGTAGCACCTAGGGCCGTTTCTCTACCTCTATCGCTCCCCCACCTTCTCATTTTTTACAGCGCAGTGTGTGGATGATTTGTGCGTTCAAGTTGGTGGTATAAATCAGAGGTGTCTGAGCGTGTGAACCATTTCATTTGCTATCGGTGGCAAGACCAAACAAACTAATGGGCGCTTGCAATACCTTACTGACCTTCAGAAAAAGAGAGAGTGTAGTCAGTTGTATTTGAATGCAGCACATCTGAATGCATCATCTTACAATAACACAGACTGGACAGGGAGGAGTAAGAAGAAACAAAGTTGAGGAGAAATCAGTGTAGGAAAGGAGATAAAGTGGGAGGGATACATGATGCAAGATAAGATGAAGGTGAGGATGAGGAGGGGGAGCACTGGAAGATATAACTCTCAAGCTGTGAAATATTACATGTTCAGAAGAATGCCATATACCTCCGCCTGCTGTGGGTACTTTTTCTGCCACCGGAACCACTAAACTATCAAGAGATCCATCAATAAAAAGGTTCTGCTGCATAAACTCCAGCGCTTACGACTGACGTTCAATTCAAATTTCTAATTTAAGTAAAACTGGAACTGAAGTTCTCTGCATTATGGTAAACATAAAACTGATTTATTAGTATCTATTAGTATAAAATGTTACTGTTTGGGCAATACTGAGTAAATGATAGCGAAATGGAATCAGGATATAATCAAAAAGTAAACCTATTAACTCTGCAGGAGATCAATTTATGTTTTTTAAAGCTTGACTGAAATATAGTACCTGGATTTTGTTTTTGATTTAAAGCTAATAAATCCAGCAATAAATAAATATGATTGTATTAGCATATTACCATGCAACAACACTGACAATTGAAAGTTTAAATCAGTAAATGGTCCGTCTGTTTTACTCTATGTTACTGTTATATTACTCTTTGGTAAAAATCACATTAATAGTGATACATTCCTAAAAACAGTTCAACATTTTTGGAAATATGTTTATTTACTCCCTCTTAGAGTGAGTTGATACCACTGTGCAGGGGGAGATAGCTGGCCTAGCTTTCTCCAAAGCTCAAAAATACGCCAACAAACAACTCTACATTTACAAGTGTAACTTGTTTGTATAATTCACACATGACTGAAGAGTAAAACAAGTCTAAGAGCCATATTTTCGAAGCAGAACAACGATGCAATCATTGCCCTGACAGTTTGGTATTTTCCTGACCTAAAATTAGCTTTGAATATACTGCATTCATCTATAAATTAATGAGTGACTCCTCCAGTATCTGTATGAAAAGCTTCGCCTTCAGTTCATTAAATCCCTTCAATCATCTGAAGGCATCAGGACACATTATGCTGACAAATCTACAGCTTCTGATTGGAGATGTGCTGCAACAGAGTGCATTGCTACTGTACACTACCGTACACTGTCTTCACCTTCATTAAATCACCTGCAAATGACACCAGGATGCTACAGAATAGCCACATGCACCTCAGACACATCAGAGTGCTCTATTACAGCTCTATTCTGCCGTTTTATAGTAGATTACAGCAGCCCATAAATCCTTTGCGTCAGCCTCCTTTTTAACGTTAATCCTTGAAATCACGGTGCAAACAGTTGTCTCGCATTTTACAATATGATGTGACCATTTATGATGTCAATTAAAACTGAAACAGTGTTGGATTGATTCAATCGTACAAACGACTTCATCAATATTTTTCATTATTTATTTCTATTGTCATTGTATTAATGAAATATGGGGGGATCATCAAGGTTGCCACAATTCACCCTGTCTGAAACACATTTCATGGCAATCCATGCAACAGTGGTTGAGACATTTCACTCAAAATCACAAATGCACACCTAATGATGGCGCTACAAGAAAAGTCAGGTGATCACCAAAGTCAGTTGGCTTCACCATGGGCACCATGAATGTTTGCTGGAATTATTTCTGGACATATAACATATCATCCACTTGTCCAGTACTGTCCAGCACAGGTTTTGGTTTCTTTGGTCTGTACTGGCAAGCAAATCTCACTATGACAACAAGACTGTTGTTCGCCAAGAAATAGCTAGCAGGCAATACCCTCTTAAGTCAAAATTGTTACTATAGGTATGTTTTTATTAGTGTATAATCACCTGAAAAAAAGAATCGTTATGTTTTTGTTACCTTAGAATAAGCTGATATTATCGACAGATGGACAGGGTCCACCATTTTAAACCGCCATGTTTCTATAGTAGCCCAGAATGGTCAAACCAAACACTGGTTGTAGATAGGACCTTCGGGTGTTTTTGTGACTTTCGTAGCCACTGCAGGTTCTCCTTGTGCTTTAAGTCAAGGGCTGTTCAGTTGGATGCAATCTGCAATCTCACCACTAGATGCCACTAAATCCTACACACAGGTCCTGTTGGACTGTTTTTCACATGAGTCAGGCCAGGTTTTTTCTCCCTTGCTTCCATCATCACTTTCATCATTTTTTAAATGCTGAACTATTCACTTACCACCTTGAAGGAGAGCATTTCTCTTATATTTTGTACTGTACTGTACTTTAGTTCTGAAGGCCTTTTACATAACGGACCAACTGAATAGTTTTCCCATGTCATATAACTATTTCACTTAATTCACAAGAGGTCCTTATCTTTACTTTTCATCTATTTCTTATAAAGCTATGGCCTGAATATGTCTGTGTGAACAATGACTACTTGTTATGTATCAACATTGTAACAAGAAGTAAAAAAATCCCCTGCCTGACTGCATTCTAGCATTAGCGTGCTGTTGCTTTTTACTGCTTTGTGCATGTACATGTATTGATGAAGAAGCCACTCTGAACACTGAGCTTGAAGTCCTCATTCATCCAATAATGAGAAAATAAAATTTAACTGACCAGAAGACTCTGTCCTTGGTCACCCGCTCCTGAAGCAAAGTCCACTTGCGGCCCAGGTCTGCGGAAGCAAAGAGCTGGACACGGAAAGAGAAGAGCACAATTAGAAAGACAAACACACGCTCAAAGCTTGTAGCATTAAATTATAAAGCCTAACCTGAGCCCTATTACCAGCTGTATCCTTTACAATGGAGGATACATCGAGAGTCTATTTGGAAACAAAAAGTTCACTCCATCAAGCTACTGAATTTCATGGTTCACCGACTTAAAACTGAGCTCAATTAATTATTAATCATAGCAGGTCGTGTGTGTGAATGTACGTGCACGGCCAATATTTTATGAGCAGCGTGTTTTGCAGTTGTGTGTGCGTTGCCTGAGCTTCTACGGCATTGATTGCACCCATAATGAAAGTCTATCGATTCCTACCCACAAGGTATCCTTGATGTCTGAAAAGCACATTGAAGCAGAGAGGAGGATTTACCACACAAACTTCCTCCACGATACAAAAACACAATGCTCGCCAGTGACAAAGGTTTAGTTGTGGATGCAGTAAATTCTGCCCACATACTGCTTACAACAACCTTTCTCATTCAGGGTCATCAGGAGCTACAAGTCATCAATGATCAAACTCATTCCTAAAGCACATTCACAATGCACAATAGTGGCTGAGAAAGAAAAAAAGCTACGGCTGACCTTGATAGAAATCTATCCCTGCCCCTACACACCTTCTTAATTTACACGTGCCACTCCGCGTCCTCCCATCATCCTCTAGCTAAATGATTTTTTTGTTCTGTTTGAATGGATTCCTCACTTCCATCTGCAGCCTGCCCATATGGAACAGATTAAAACCTAATTGAATTTCTTGTTTAATTACGTGTAAATTATTAAAGTTGAGGAGGAGTTGGAGCCGACTCAAACTTATGAACTATTGGACCTAATCTCCCACCTCTATGTCTCTAGCTCCATTTCCACTTTACAGTACACTCTTCAATTAGGAAGCGTGCCTTGTGTGTGTGTGTGTGTGTGTGTGTGTGTGTGGACGTGTTTGAATGCAGACCTGTCTTTGTATTCAGAGTTGTTAAAATGGTGAATGACACAGATCAATTAGTGACTTGATTAAACTAATGATTGATTTTATTAGACTTAAATACAGTGTAGTCTGTCAACTGACACAACAATGTCCTAGGCTGACATTGAAGTGAGGGCTGTGAAGAAGTGGAGGGCCCAGGAGGAAGTGGGCCAGGCAGAATCACGATTGCGGCACAGTGTTTGGACCAGTAGTGGCTGGATGTACGGAGCTAGGAAGCATTCCAAGAACTTGCTACGACAAAGCCAGAGGCAAGATAGGCGTTGTTTGGTCCAACAGTAGTGCGAGCAGGAGTGCAGGAAGGTTGCTCCCGCAGGATTGTGCAAAGCAGCAGCAGGGCTTGTAGACCAGATCGAAGCAAGCTCTGGAAAAAAAATCTATTGGCTGGAGGCCTGGAAGGCAGAGCTGCTCAGGATCAAGTTTTTGATCCCTTGGGTGTACAATGTTCTTCCCAGTCCAACCAACCTGTATTGGAGTTGGCTGAGACTCCAGCACGCCCCCTGTATCAGAGAAGAGGATATCTTGAACACAGCCTCAGCTGTTTGCCCAAAGGCTCTGGGAGAGATACTATAGCTGGTGTCACGCCGATTCCATCTGCACAGGGATCAGCCAAGCCACCACCATTTCATCATTAAGGCAAGGGAAACCACAGGCTCAAGCAAGGCTGTTGACCTGGGTTAGCAGCTCCCAGAAACCACTGCAGCGACCACACTAGGGCCAGACATCGTCCCAATTTCTAAAACTTTAAGACAAGTGGTCCTGTTGGAGCTAAGTGTTCCCAAGGAAGACAAGATGGAGGAGGCCTACCAGAGGGAGAGGACCAAGTATGAGGACCTGGTTTGCCAGAAGCAGAGATGGTGGGCGCAATATGGCACTATTGAGGTAGGCTGCACAAACTCATCAAAAACACCAACAAGGCTGCAGAGAAGGCGTTCAGACGGCTATGGATCAGGATGGGGGATCCAGTTACACAGGCCCTGGCTGGGTCACCTTGGCGAGGGGGTACAATTGTTGAAAGACCCAATGACCCCAGGTTACATCACTGATGATGTGTCAAGGTCCAAGTAAGATATATGTGATTACATTGAATACTGAATCTGGGGCCCCTGGTTAGCTCAGTCAGTAGAGCTGGCGGCCCTTTGTTGCGCGTCATCCCCTCTCTCTACCCACCCTTCCTGTTGATCTTTAGTTGTCCTATCCAATAAAGCCATGAAAAGGCCCAAAAAAAAAACTTAATAAAAAAATAAATACTGAATCTGATGGTTCATGTGAGGGAAAAACAGAGAAACAGAATGGAGGGATTTTGATAACATTGTTATTTTTTCTCTATAATAACAGAATAACAAGAAAGATAATTATACAAAAATAACACACCTCCTAGAAATACAAATGTGCTTACATAAGGGAATAGATCAGACTACTTATGTATGTATCTTTTACTTCTAAAGATATAAATAAGCTGTCCCATAAGGAATAATTTAAAAATTCTCACTAGAACAGAATCAAAGACTAAACCAAACTTTTCCTCTACACTAACAATAAACTATTGTATGTTACCTAAAAATAGCAACATATGCCTGATACTTTCGTCTTAAAAAGAACAAAAACATGAATTCTTCACATGTAAAATGTCTGTAAGAGCCTGTGTTTTCAGTATTTAGTCCAATATGAGAATACGGTCATGTTTCATCCAATCCATCTTTTTCAAACAACTTCTTTCACTGTCAGATTTATTGTGCCACCTCTGTGTGATTACCATAAACAAATGTGACACTACTGAAGATAATTAGTTGCTTCTGTTTCACTCCAGTGGTCTTGTTAATGTTAGCATCTCCTAAAATTAAGATGACATTTTGTATAAGCTGTACTACTGACCCTCCCTCCCCTGGTGTAAAATGTTGCACTCAAAAAAGATAGAAATAGTGAAATCTGTGTGATTTAAAGCAGTGGCTGTCAATTTTCTTGGCTTGCGGCTTGAAAGAATCAAGTATTTCCCAAGAACAGAAACATTTTCTATTTTATCCCTTCAAACTAAGAGCCTTAAGATTTAACTTGGAAAGTTAAAGGCCGTTTAATGGCTGGCAGATGTCTAATTTTCTGTCATGCTGACATGATGATGTATTATTGTAAAAATGTTACACAAGTGTACTCTCACCTAAAAGGTAATGCATAGCCTTTGATCAGCTCTTCTTCTACAGGGCTGTAGGCCTCACTGAATCATCTCAATGCCTTCAGGCAACAAGACATAAGTAACAGTGTGATGTCTCAGTCATCATGTTTGCTCGGGATTTCCCATGTTAGCACTCAGGGAGCAATTAGCTCCACTTTGTGGCAGAAAGGGCCGGATGGGATTCAGCAGTATGACATGGAGAGCCGTGTAGCAACTATCTATACAATTGTGTATGCAAGCTCATTAACTAGCATCTGAGAATCCTCCTTCACAGTATACGTGTTAATCAGCCTTACATTGAAGGGGAAATTTGCCACATTAGGGTGGATGTCAAATAAGTGTTGATGATAAATGTAACTTGACATTTACAAACTAGTTGTAGTGTTTAAATTATTATTTTTATCAAAATTTGGCTCTCATTTTCATAGTTTTAGCCATCATTTCTATCCCTAATATAACATGGAGACAAGACAATAACCACGATCAGACAGGTTTTAACGAACTGTCTTCTATTTTATTTTACTCTTTTTAAATCCTATTTATTGTTTTTTTTATATTGCCTTGTGTTTCTTTAATATCTTGTCTTTATACCTTGTCTTATATATAGCACTTTGAATTTCCTTGTTGTTTATAGGTGCTATGCAAATAAACTTGCACTGTCTTTAAGGAAGGAAAGCTAAAAGTAAAAATGATTACCTAAACTGTCCATTGTTAACATCAAAGTTTACAGACCCACTTCTTCGTTCAACTTTGACTCCAAATAATGTGCACTTACAAAGTGTATTTGTTGCAGCAGATTTTTTTTCTCTTTCTAGTCAAAATATTTCAAAGAGCTTCCTACAGACAGCCGAGTGACATTGCGACATGTTTTCAATATGAAATGCAATATCAAAGGCCGTGTGTGCATTTGGATGTGGCCACTGTTCTGTTTATTTCACTTGCATAAGAAGATTTGCCCTACAGCTGTATTGTTGAATGATAAATCACACATCAAGTTTTCTCTGAGGTTCGTGTTCGGCTGGTGCGTGTGAAAATTGAAATTTAATGCATTGCTGCACTGACAGCAGAGACATCTTGCTGGTGTAACATCACTGCTGTCTTCTTGTTCTTTCTTTCAGCTACAGAATCAGCTATTTATTTTCATGTTTCTTCAGCCCTGTGATACCCACCCTGCCCTCCTTGCAGTAGGCCAGGAGCTTGTCTTCCTCCTTGGGGTGGAAGACGATAGTGTCCGGGGTGAAGGAGATGGACTGTCGCTGGAAGGAGGAACCTTCGTCTGTGCTGATAAACAGCATCTGATCCCTCTCGTTAATGGATGAACCCACCAGCACTACCTGAAAATCAGACAGACAGGGGAGGAGGAGAGGAGGAAGGGAAGGAGACAGAGGTCAGAGGTGAAACGGTCAAAGGGTAATGTCCTGTGATGTATTCACAGCTCAGTCAGCAGTCTGTGGAAGACATAAAAAGGCTATCCTCCTCATGTCAATACTTGTGCATATTAATTCCCCTGCTTCCACTGGAAAATATAAACGCATGCATGACCACGCAAGGACATTTATTCAAGGCCATTCTCCGGGCCATAAGAACTTTCCATCAACCTTACATGCTGCTTGGACCGAGGCGACACTGTATTGATTATCTATTCAGAGTTTTATAGCTCATAAAGTGAAGGCATTAAACACAGGGCACACCAGGACCCGCCAACCCACCAATCACAATTATGTCCCAAACACCCAGGAGTAAGGCTACCAATAGGGTTGATCGATAGGAGCTAATGAACCGGTTGCATTCTTTACGAGTTTGTGAGAGGAGGGAAACTGTCCAGTGAGGGTTTTTAGGTGTTCATCATCCTCACAGTGATGTTTGCACCTGTTCTTCACAGAAAGTATTTCTTATAGTATAGAAACCTTCACTCCTTTTTCCTTCAGTCAACCAAATAATGAAAATCATTCGCTGACAGCTGTTCTCCTTCAAAACATCTGTTTCATTCGGTTGCCAAGGTTTTAGATTAATGGATGCAAAGCATTAAAGAGACATAGAGTGTATAATAGAAAAGGAAAGTGCAGCTGGTAATGATTATTTAAAACATTAATTCTGCTTCTTTTGCATGTACACAAAGAAGCACGCAGGTTAAAGGCATACTGTAAAGCAATGTATAGACTCATACACACATAATCCCACGGGACACTGGTGGGCATCAAACTTTGGAGAGCTGTCTCTGTCTATCTGTCTCCTCTGCTCCCTTTGCTGTCTGTGTCATAGATACATAGAGGGATGTAGGTCTGTGTGTCAGTGTCTGTTTGACTGAAGGCAGACAGGATGAAGCTACACTTCAGCTGCATGCACACATCAGAAATAAGGCTCCCTCCTGCAGGGTTGTGCAGAGATGTGGCTGTGTTTATTTGAGCGTTAGACTGTAACTGGAGAGAAACAAAATAACATATAACTTTGGTGATTCTGACTCTCCTGAATCCTGATCAATACATGACTTCTCAAGGAACCATGAACTACGTCAAAGAACATCGAGTTTGCAGTTGTTTTTCAAGAGTGAAATAGCAACCACTGGTTGGGGGAGATCAGTATAGCGTTTTGAGGAGACAGGCCTCATCCTTGTTTGCTAATGCCTGAACCCGGGGGTGAAGCATCACTTAAAGGCCCAAAACAAAAACATTCTCAGGTTTTTCACTGCAAACAATGGTGTTCTACATGTACACAAAATGTTCTGACAACGTGAGAGATTTCTGTTGTATTGACTGTGCCCGGTTTGGGTAGGCCTCGGTTGGAAATCTTATCAAACCACACCCATGCAGTCCTGGTGAACCCGATTAGCCAATTTCAATAAAACTCCTAATAAATAATACTTAATGTTTCTTTTCCAAACTTTAACTTTCTTATTCAGTCATGAATATTTAATGTTATAAGGAAGTTTTGACACCAAGATTTCAGGGGTTTTAAATATTTTATTAGTAATATCATAGCTCAGTTTTTAAAGTTGCACATTCTAAAAAGAGGGAAACCTGACAACAACAACTGCACAATTCATTCCTGACCAAATGTCCCAGGGTCCCAGATCTACAGGGGCCCGGTTTTACTCTATGTCAGTTGTTTTTTGGCAATTGAATTACTTATTAATAACTTTAGACTTTGCACCACTACAATATATCGACTGAATCCTGTATTCTTTTATTTTTATTTTAGGGGTGCATTGTAGCTCACCTGTGGGCTGAGATCTTACTGCAGCGGCTAAGGTTCGATTCCAACCTGTGCCCCTTTGCTACATGTCGTCCCATGCGTGTAGAATCTAGATGCTCTACCAGGTGAACTACTGGGACGCCCCAAGGGTCCTGTATTTCAGGTGTAAAGGCTCCCTAGCTATTTCAAAATGTGAAGTGAAATAGCGTTTAATCAAATGACCACAAACTAACCAACACACACATTTCTGGCAATTCTTTCTACTGTCATCATAAAAGCTTCATATTCTCACCCACACAATCTTGACACTTGCCACACAGCAAACTCTGAGGCTGTGGCTGAGTCATTTCATTATTAATATTAAATAAATAAAATGAATTTGTATGCATTGACACACACAAGCTAGTTAAGTAAGCATGCACGCACACAAATCCTTTTCAGTATTCTCATCATGACTGCAGTTAGGCAGCCAGCGTAGCATGCCTCACATCTCGCTGGCTGCACTACTTGAGAGCTCTGTGTGTGTGTGTGTGTGTGTGTGTGTGTGTGTGTGTGTGTGTGGATGTATGTGTATGTGTGCGTGTGTGTGTGTGTGTGTGTGTGTGTGTGTGTGTGTGTGTGTGTGTGTGTGTGTGTGTGTGTGTGTTTGTGCGTAGCTCTTGCTTGTTCTGAACACACTTCCCTAAGCAACATGGTCAATTAAAGGCCCGGCGTTTGTTTGGCTGCCAGAGGAAGGCCTACAAGGACGAGTGGTGGAGTGGTGAATTTAGAGGAGCAGGAGGGGAGAGGCACATAGGACTGTATTATTTCTCTTAACATAAAAGTCTTTCTTTTTATTTATTTTGCGAATGTTGACAGGGCATGTCTGTATTTGCACCTGGGAACTGCCCATGGTGCTTGCTGTTGACAGCCAAGAAGATCCACTAGAAAGCTTATGGTTCACTGCCTTGCTCAAGGGCACCTTGAGAGTATTTTCTGGGGGATTTGGGAGTTTAGCACTTTTTCAGTCACAATCCTGCATTTCTACCCTCTACATTGGCACGGATCATGTCCAAGTAATAAGAATTGGGAAGTGGCTGCTGTTAGGCAATGGAGCATGTATTTACATGTCAAAGTGGAAGAATCTTTGGCTTCTACTGTACGAACCACTGAGAGTTCCTCCCTTTAATGTCTGACTGTGGGGTTCTTTTCATCTCCCTGTGGGACAGGACTATCAATCAGGTCAGCCTGCCTCTGCCAATATGTCTCTATTTAAAGGACATCACTCAGTTTAACCTAGTTGAGCTCTGACAGCTGGACATCCTCAGGACACACACACGGGCCGCCCACACACCATCACATCACCAAACGCTGACAGAAAATGTACAGTGGGACAAGAAACACCTGGAAAAAAAATCATATTTTATTCATGCGGAATTAATGTGTGTGTATACTGTGTTTTGAATCTTTAAAATTTTAACCACACGGATACTGAGATATTATTCAGAGAAGTATAGTAAGTATAAATAATCCGTATAATTAAATTAGACCTACTGACCTGTAACAAGCTGAAATAGCTGCACTCACTAATGTTTCTGAATTATCCCATATCAGTCTTTGCACTGCAAAAAATAAACCCCACATCTCAGTCACTGCATGTTACCATAGAAAAGCTAAGGAGAGCAGGTGTATGCTGGTCTTTATGGGGATGGGAAAGTTAACCAGACAAACATCCACCATGGCAACAACCTAGCCTTCATCCTTGAAGTCTTTTCTCTTGTAAACCTGAAACATTTTCTGATAAAGCATAAATCTCATTTTAGGTAAACCAGAGGATGTCTGTAGACAGTGCATGAGACAGAGCTGTGACATTTTGTAGCCTCTCACATTTATAGAATACACAGCACAGAGGTTACACTCACTATGATTCAAATGAACTTTTAGGCCAACAAAATGGTAAAAGAAATAAAGTGAGAGGGGTTCAAAACAGCAATTTGACTTTCATGTTGTCAAATGTAACTTAGAGAAAATATTGCTGAACAGTTTAATGGATACATTTAATTTGTGATATTATAATAATATTGTTTTCAGATTTAATAGCTTATAAATGTTCTTCAATGGGTTCGCCTATTCATGCCTGGGCTGAAAATCCCTCCAAAAACAAGAGGCCTGAAGATGCGATACATCTCTTCTTCTTGTTCAATATCTTGCAACCCCTTAGATTATAGTGACCCCTTCTTTGGTCCAGACCCTACAGTTTGGGAACCACTAATGAAAAAAAAGACTGTATAGGTCCAAAGGAATTACAGTATTGGTTTATCTTCTACTAAATGGACAATGGTTAGGAATATTTTCAACAGGCGAATCCAGGAAAAAACTTAGAACCTTTTTTTGACCTCAGTCACTGAAATCAATAAAAAACGAACTGAAAAATAGAGCAGAAAGGTCTGAAGTGTGTGGAAACATAATACACAGCCTCCTGACGCAGTAACAGGACTTTCCAACAAGTGGCACTCTTGTCAAACTGTATGCATGTGAGCATTCCTTCAAACCTTTAAACCAAAGTTGAAACTGAGCTTGACTACAAATTTTGGGGAAGCTACAAAGAAAGAGGACTGGGGGAGGCCAGGCAGGCACTAAAATTGCTCTCCTGTAGCACAACTTATGATCCTCCGCAATCTAAAGACGTTGATACATTCTTTCTCCATAATGATTTCCTCTGAGTAATAACTCAAGCTTCGGGAAACACAGTGCTGCTATTGTGCAAAGCAGATAAAAGCAGACTAAACTTCCTGTGTCTGCTCTGGAGAGTGTATGGGTGCAACACATTAAGGGGACTTAAAGAAACAAAACTCAGCTCTTTTTAATCTGTAAAGGGCTTAAACATCAGTGTCGGCTCCAAATGCGTGCCACGTTTGATAATCTTTCGATCACAGTCAATCTGACACAGGGAGCTGATCGCTGAAGACACACAAGTCCTGCTGTGTTGACACACATCAGAGGGTATCAGCTATAATCTTTTATAAAACAACACAATCTACTTAGCAGCTTAGAATAGCTTATGGAGGAGTGCTGGCGTGCAGTTGCAGCATGAAAAGCATGGAGGTTTATGGGCCAGAGGAAGATAAGAATGGTTGTGTACATTATGTCTGCATTGCATGTC